ATTCCTCTATTATCCTGATGACTACTGAAACTAAGAGGTTTAAAAATCAATGTACTAGTCACAAATTTACACTGGCATTTTGGCATTTTTGACTTTAATGGGGACATATTCCAGCCAGACCAGAAAATTAAGCATTTGTGAGGAAGTGAGAACTCAAGCCCCACTGCATACACAGCCTTGAGGTGTCCTTACAGAAGCTGCTTTCAGAAAACTTATGATCTGGCAATTCAGCTTTGGTCCCCAAACCTTCAGTTGCTAGTGGCTGCTTCCATATACTATCTATACTACATATACTGTGAGCTGAAACAAGCAGTCAATACCAACTCAAAGTACTTCTAGACAGCGGTTCTGGGGCGAGGGACTGGAGGTTAGTTGAGAGATGCTTGACCCAACTGATTAAAGCACTTTACGAACTAGTTTAATGTTTCATAAACGAAGCCAAGGCACAAAGTTGGTAAACCTTTTCAGGTAATGTCTGAAAATATAATCAAGATCACTTGCCTTTTCCAGTCCAAACAATTCCTATCTGCAGTCCTTTTGACATCATGGTAGCTGCGACGCTCTCCGGTGCCTTCCTGACAAAGTCATCATCTGTACATCGTCCGACATACACTATTGCTTCTTTCCAGTGCTGCTGAGAAACTGCCTTTTAAGCAGAACCAGAAAGATTTAACCAGCTTTTCAAAACGTAAGAAATCAGTGTGTTTCAAAATCTCTGGCCATTCTTGAAATTAGAATTTCTGTAATGCCACAATTGAGACATTTCCTACGTGAGGACTTCTATGTATATAAGTGGTATTGTATCACTTAATTTTTTTGCTTGAGTTACCACCAACAAAAATGAAGTTAAAAAGCTGAATGCACTTTTATTTTGGCTTAAGATAACTGACTAGCTGCCATTCTACTTCAGCTTGGTCTTCATCACATTATCCTGTTGATTTTGAAAGCCCTCATAGTAAGTTTTTATTTATTTTGGCATTGCCGTGATTTCATTGTTGATATGCCTGCACTACAAATACATTTTATGACACACTGTGTCATAAAATGTCACCTACTATGTGCTGTGACTGACAATATATATGTCAACATAGCTTTACCATGAAAGTGCTTAGCTAAAGCAGGGGGTGGGGACAGGATTCAGATGACAAAAACCAGACAGTTCTATCACTTGTCCAAATCACTCTCTGTTCTCAGGAGGCAAAGACACATCTGTTGGTGCCAAATTATATTACAGGCACCAGTGATAATCAAATGCAAGGACAATGCCACAATATGTGGCATTACAGTGACTGACAAGATTAGTTGACAAATCAAACATGAAAATGAGAGGCTGAAAAACAGAGTGATATTAGTAGTTAAACTTAATTGGGCTGATTATGCTGAAAGCAAAAACGTGAAGAAAAGTCTGTATGACCAGGTGGGAAGCCAGAGTCCAGCAATGGTAAATTTCAGGCTCCAAAAGCATCAGTGGCACTTGTGAATGTCTCAGCATAGCCACAGCACATAGACAACTAGCATAAATGCAAGGCAGATCTAACAATAATGGTATTTATTTCCACAAACTCTCATGAACATCAAAAGCTAGCGAGGGTTGTCGTGTTTTCCAGAACACAACCAAAGGTCCAGTTCACAAGGGACACAGACAGGCACACATATGATACCTTGGCCAACTTCAGCAACTGTAACTTCACCTGAAAGGAACTGGGCAGGGCAGTGAACAGGAAAACTCGTGCAGGGGGCAGGGAAATGAAAGACAAAGCAGTTTTTCTTGTGCAAGTAGCTACATGTTAGAGCCTGTGCTACCCTGAACAATAGCTACATCTTGCAGCTATGCTGTTCTGCCATCTGTTTCCCTAGCTGCAACTCTCAGGTGCAACATGCACCTGGCATACATTGAAGCCAAGATTGGCCTAAAGGTTTTGGGTAGAGACTCCAAGTGTGCACATCTATATGAAGGTCACATATATCTGCTTCACAGAATGAGAGGAAAACCCACATCACCTATTTGAAGATGAATCTTCATGCTGAATTTCCATACATACCCACAATGGAAATAAATCTGTCAGAACAGAGCAATCATATCAGACATTTTTCCTCTGCAAATATAGGCTTGTTTTGTGGTGAGGAATTAGTTTTACACTGGGACACACATCTTTGCATATCAGTTAATTCACATGATTCTTATTTTACTCGATGTTTTCCATAGCATTTCCTAATGAGAACTGGTGCAGAGGCTGCTTGATCTGCCAATAATCAATCTGACATAATTTTTCTGGCAAGCAGTTTACATCAGTCTACTTCAATCTGTAACTCAGAACATGCTTTTATCATGTCACGTCTCAGACCAACTGAATTCATTATCCTACCAAGATGGTGTGCCAATTTTAACTATGAAAATATTAACATTACAGTGAACGTCAGTTGATTCAAGGCACATGTTGTCATCTTGACTAACTGCAATTCCATGGTAAATAATTAATTTGTCTTTGGTAAAACACACATAGTGATCTTCTAGAAATTTCCTGGAATAGAGTCCCCTCCTACCCCTGCCCTTGAAAATAGCAAGACTTTTTCACAATAGACAACATTTTTTCACACAGGAGTTGCATTATTGTTGGATCTGTCTCATACTGCCATTAAGAAACAGTTTCTGCTTTTGCAGAGCTCCAGCAAGGTTCCTGTTAACTTTTGACAGGTTTTGCAAAGACTCACTCTGGTTAGGTTTCTACTCAGTCCCACCCCAAGCATAACATGCTCCAATGTTGCTTTAGTGATTTTTTTTTCAGGATTTCCATTTCCTTCACTTAAGTTTCCTGTAGAGCTCTCTGTCCACAAACATCTTCTACAGCTCTTCTGTTTATTGAAGCCTAAGGTGTCAATACCAAATAGCACTGGGCTCTGCTATGAATCCTAATGTGTTAATACCAGATAGCATTGAGCTCTGCTAAAATATACATCTACCCCCCTTTAAATAGCTAAGCCATTTAATAACCATGTTCTATACTGTGTACTCACAGCACCAAATACTACCAGGAAAATTAAAAGCCTTCTGTACAGAAAACAGCAATGAACTTAAACCTTACAGATTTTTTTTTTTCAATTTGGAAAACAAAGATCCCCAATACACCTTTCCACATTGTCCAGAAAGAGTAACACCAAGCCTGCTGCAGTTTAAGCACCATGTAAGATTTTGCTTTGTTGAGAAATAGCATAAAAGATTCAGCTTCAGGACAATCAATCAAGCATGGACTCTGATACTGACAGGTTGCTAAGTTACTAAGATCACATATATACTAAAAATGTTTAGACAACATTTTCTTTTTGACTGAGTAGGAATTCTGGCTGTGATCAGGAAAAAAAAAATCAGACAAGTTGTTGAAACCGATGCTGAAGATTTTATACAAGGAATGTCATGGCTGCTTTCTCTTTGTGCATTAACATGGTAGTAAAGCTACATGCATAAACAGCACACAGGGCACAGCCTACAAACCAAGAACACATTGCTCACCCATTAAAAAAATAAAAAATACTTTGAAGGACAGAATTATGCTAGATGTACAGAATAGCTTTTTAAGAGAGGATTTCTACCTACTTGTGCCCTCCCTTGGACAATTGTCAGTTTATGGCAGACTCTTGCTTACAAAAACATTAGACAGTCCCCAGTAAACTTGGCCAGTACCGAAGGTGTCCTGGAACATCTTCTAAGTCTACTTCCTTGTGTAAGCTGGATGTAGTCATGAAGGGGTAACCACTTTTTTGAGTGATTCTTTCACAGACAAAGTGAGAATCGCTTGTTTACAAGGAAAGTCAGTACGCTTGTTCAGAAGATAAAGTCCTTTATAGCAGTTAATTTAATAATACAGTCTTAAAACAGGGTGTTGGTCACTCATCTACACAAGAGCACATTTAATAAGCTGGGGAAAAAATACCACAGTTCCAGGACACCGCATTAAACTCCAGCCACTCCAAGAGGAGGCAACTCTCATGTGGTGGAAGAATTCTTGCCTATGTAAGCCGAGAAGGGAGAATTTTAGGCAGTTTAATCCATAATGGTCTCTTACTTCTTATAACTGGAACCACAAATCCACAGTACAAGACAGTGTAAGTCAGGTTAAGTGGTGCTTTTGATAATAAAATCAGCGAATTCACTGCAGTCCTTTGATAAAAGGATGAAGTCCACTGAGTGCCAGTTGCTAGGAGCAAAGAAGAAAGGTTCCCATTTTCCAGGCTGAGTTGTAAGTTCATATTACTAGAAGAAAGATAAGTCAAATCTGTGCAGTTTCTATGCAACCACATCTGAGAACACAGAGGCTTCAAAGACTACAGGATCACTTAAAAAGGGGAAAAAGTCATCACAACCCAAACAAATCAAACTTCATATTTCAGAATTGCCTACAGAACCTGTTCTCTTGTTCTGCTCTGAACAAAACTTTTAACTGTCATGATCTGGCAGAGAAACTTGAAGAAAACCTGAGTACGTGAAAACATTGTCAGGGAGAGCAAAACCCTGCTACCCTTTGATCTATTATTGAAGTTGAAATGGCAAAATCAGAACACTTTGCCTCGTGCCATATGATTTGCTTTACCTTTCAGAGCTCTACTGATCTCAACCAGGGGATCTATTTCAATTTGATACCTCTTGCACTGCAAGACCATTGCTTATATCACAGTTCAAACAAACTTGCTAATAAATCTGGAGTTAATCTTCCATGGCCAGAAGGACAACACCTCCAAATGTAGGGTTGGCTGAATTACCAGGTGTAATTCATATATCAACACTGGAGATTTCCTGGCAGCACAGAGTCCAAACCTTCCTCACAGGACATTAAGATCAGCAAGACATTCCAGAAGAAGAATTAGAAGGCCATAAGTCTGATCCAGTATAGTATAGAACAACACCATCCATCATTTGAACTAGGAATACTCAAAGCTTCATTAGCCAACCGTATTCTTAATATACTAAATTATATATAGTTGATATATATATATATATGGGGGGGTTTTTATTGGAATAAAATACACTGGATTTGGTTTTCTCATTTACAAGGGAGCTCCCTCCCTTTCCCAGTTAATTTGAAATTAAAACCTAGAGGCTGAATGTAAGCTCATTCCCAGCGTTCCAAGATGGATATAACACGAGAGGAGGCCAGAAACTGGAAACATGCACTCTGGCTGCAACAGGTTAAAAGGTTTAAGGGAGACCAGATATCTTCATTTGTAACCCTGAGAACATAAGGAATTGCAAAGATCTGGAGAAGAGCCTGGGGTTAAAGGTCACCAGGCTTTTTATTGCAGTTAAAGCAAACTCGGACTGGGTGATCCCATCCGCGGGAGGGAACCCCTCTGCGGTCGTCACAGAATCCCTGGCCACAGGCCCGACAGTGGTGTTTGGAGAGTTTGATACTGAATTCCTTCCGGCAATTGTGGCAGTGCAGGATTTCATGGTCTGGTACCCAGTATGCAGGGCGGGCAGCATCTTTTACCAGACCTAAGGAGAAAGTGAGGTGGGGGGATGAGAAAGAGGGAGAAGAAAATAATCTGTGAACATGAGCATATCAAGAATGTACTCCACTGGAAGTTACCAACTGCAAATCACATCACTGCCACTAATGGGTAGGTGCCCTATGACAGAATACTCCAGTGCAACAGGCAGCCGTTTATGGCATTCTGTCATTCTCCCACATTCTGCCTCTCCTCAGAGGGACAGACTGCTTCTCCTTAAATGGTGGCATCTTCCCTTACTCAGACTTTTCCAGTGGTTGAGACACTTGCTTTTCCTACCTTCAGTTTCAGCTGTGGCCAAAAAACCACAGTCACCAAGCCAAATACTCAGAAATGTATGTACTGTCCAAACTGAGAAAGATTTATTCTGCCTTTCATTGAGTCAGAGAGCAAATACCCACAAAGCTGATGGCAGGATGTGCTGTAGGCAAAGCAGTTGAACAATGATCTGTGCAATGAGTAGGAAGTCAGGTCCAACAACAGAAGATTCAAACGTGAAATGTTTGCTGACATACCTGAACTGCCACCCAGCACATGAAAGAGCAGCAAACATTTCACTGCACTAAGCTCACCATTAAAGATCACATTACTGATTACTTCCCCATCATTACCAGACTGGACAGCTCCAAATTCTCAGCCCTCCCCTGCAGAAGTACCAAGTGCCAGCAGTACCCATGAATACACTTGAAAGGCACTCAAATTCTCTGGAATAAAACCAAACCTGCTAAAATGCTTCCTAATTGGCCAGTCTTTAGGGTACTCCAACTGGAAGGTCACTGCAGTGACGCATCAGAGGAGTATGAATTATTCACAGCTTGGTGCACAGAGATTTGCACAAAAGGGAGAAAAGAGAAAGCATGAACTGCAGAAACAATGTGCTGAAAACCAAGAGGAAACATCAAGCAGAAGAGGTGTAGAGGACTGGAAAACTCTCAGCCAACAGTGGCATCATAGCAGAGGTGCTAGTCCGTCACACAAATTCTTGAAGTTTAATCAGAAGTTTTACTCTTTGAAAACAAAAATGCCTTTAGACAAAAAAAATCCATCAGAACCAAACAGAGCTCACCTAAGGGAATGTCCATGGCTGTCACCACTGCTCCAAGTGTATTTTGCACAGCCTCTCCCACCTTCCTGGCAATAAGTGTCCCTCCTTCCTCATCTGAAGGCAGCTCAGCCACATCTGTGTGACACAAGAGTGAAGAGCTCAGCACCTAAGTCCACCACAATTTCTGCCAATTTTCAATTAATTTACATTAGCAAAAACCAGCAGCAAACCCAAAAGGCAGGCTGGAGTCTCTCCCCAGCCTTTCTCCCACATCCCCAATCTTGGATTGCAGAGTTTTCATTTGAGCTGTAACAGACAAAATACAGTCTGCTAAAACAGCATCATCCCTGCTCTGATGCTAGCACCAGACCACCAGCAGTTGCTGGAAAAAACAAAAAGTAGAGATACAATTAGAAATCAATTTTGTCAGGGGGTCAGGTATCTGGTAGCTCATTGAAAGGATCACCTTTCTGCCAAAAGACATTGAGCTCTTGAGCCTTCCTGCCAAAAACTGTATGGAAGCCCAGTTTGAACAACACTGCCTACACCCAGTGGGAACGGCTGTGATCCAGAAATCAGAGACAAAGACCTCAGGCTATCGCCCAGGGATAATTCTGTCACAATCAACCCAAAATTACCTAACTGGATGCCCCTGTTTTCATAGCAGTTGTCACACACGCGCACTGGTGCTGGTCCCCAGCCTCGCTCAGGCACTGGGCGGGTCTTGGAAGAGCAGCCGTCGCAGAAACCCTCTCCACACGCCCGGCAGTGGTGCTTGGTGTCATTGTCTTTAAAAGGTGTGTTGCACTTATTACAACTCTAATCAGAACCACATAGAAAGAAAAATCGTTAGTTTGATCTTCCTTAATAGAAAAAGAGAGAGCAGAAGCCCAGATGGCAAGTTTCAGACTGAAATTGTGAAAAATATAGTTACACCCAAGACTTGGGTGCCACCAGCCCCATAACTTTACCCTAGGGAAGTGATACAGACAGGTAGGTGTACAGCAGTTAAGCCAATATATTGCTGTGATCCCTTCATTCACAGTCACAAATAAACACAGCCACACCATACAGGGCTGAATGGTGGATATTTGATATTTGTTGGAGGTAAGAATTCAAAAGGTAGTTTTCACTGAAGAACCACCTGTTTCCTGAGAGACACAGGGAATCCTTTCCTAGTGGAACTGTTGGGGCCAGCTTTTTGCATCTGATATGAAACCAGAATTCAATCTCTGCATCTATAAAAATAGTACTATCAACTGCAGTAGCCAGATTTAAGATGATGATTCTTTGCTTTGAAGAGCAAGTCCATGCAAGCTAGAATTTTCTGTGATCCTACTGGGAGAGGAGCTCACAAAGAATAGGGAGAAACAGTTTCTTTAGCAGGGCTAAGTCAGGAATGGAAAGAGCTGAAAGCATTTCTATTTTCTCAAAATTGTAGGAGAAGGGCTTGCTGCAGTAAAATAAGAAGCATTTGGAATTTGCAAAATACTACATTACTTAAAGGGTGGGGAAAAAGGATTCTAACTATGCAAAGCATTTCTCTACAGCAGCTGCTATTTACCAGGATCTGAGAGTTGGGTCTCCAGTAAGCTGGGGCAATCTGGTCTGTCAACCAGGAGGTCACAGCTTTTGTGGGTCCCAGGCTAAGTTCAGATACTGATTGAGCCATGAAATTCATGCCATCCAACAAACGCTGGGCTGCATTGTTGTTGTCTTTCAGAAATCCATCAGTCTGGAATGAAACAGATACTCATTTGAGAATAAAACCATGGAAACCTTTTTTTTTAGATGCAGACAGCTCTAAAACCCATTGCTCCTGTTAAACTGGAGGACAATCAAGAGAAAAAAAATTGACTAGTCCTGCTTTAAAACACAGAGGTAGGTGGATAAACAAAAAGTGTTAACAAACTGGCAACTCAGCCATTTCAAGATAGGCAAAAGATGACTGAAGGCCCATGCAAAGGTTCTTTCAAATAGCAGAGACAGGGACCAGCTGTAATGAGAGCCAATCCATTTACTCCATCAGTGTCCAGAACCAACAAACTAACATGTGCATGGCCGCACACATACACAAAGATTATCCAGCAATCTTATGCAGACTCACCCCTGGCCAGACATGTTCAATTTCTGTCCTCACTACAGTGTTGACAGGATCCTGGTTGCCAAACCAGTACTGTCGGCTGCGGTACACCACCCCACAGTTGGGGCACTCGATCACGTATCTGCAGAAGAGTAAGACAGGTTACCTCAGTGGTAACCTGAAAGCACTGAAGTCCAGTGCACCAGGCAGCACAGAGGCAACAGAGAACAGAGATCTTAGCTGCAGTACTCACCCTGACCAGGCATACTTGGCAAGGCCCAGCCAAGGTGAGTCAGTGGAAGCAGAGGTTTTTGGCACCACGCTGACCTCCATCCCTCGCTCATAGCAGGCCTATAACATAAAGGCTCAATTAAACCTGCATTCTTGGGAATCCACATCTAGGTCTTGCAACTGTTTGGCCACCTAAAGCTTAGAATTGACATACAGCGGTGTCCACAGCAAAGGAGCACTCCTCAGAATTAATTTAAAAACACAGCAAAACCAAACCCACTATCAATAATGACATCAGGGAAATATTTCTACGTCAATAAAGATCATGATGGTAGCCACAAGTTTTCACGTCTTCTGCACACACCCTTCAGAAAAAACTGGCTAATACTAAGCAATAGGCATAAGCAAATAAGAAGAGTAATCACATCAAACATGCAGAAGGTTAAGAGCAGTTGGCTTCACAGCTTAGCTACAAAGTGACACGCAGAGGTGATGATCTCTCCAAGCAAAAATACAAGCTCAATGAGGATCAATTTTTCTTGTCAAGGCCATGAGCACCTCTGACATTTGAAGAAAAAAAAAAGGGGGGAAGAAAAAACAGGCACATGTCTGTGATATTCCTCATTTACTGGGTCATCCTTTCCTTTTTCATGCTTCAGACCTTGTTCTTGTATCACTACTCACCTTGCAAGTGTAGACTCTGTTATCATACTGGTGAGAATACCTGCATCGACTTTTGGATTCATGAGGGATTCCTTCTTTTGCATGGTTCATGCTCTTCTTACAGCCACACCTGAGTATGTAAAAGCAAACTATGAGTTGTTGCTATTAAATACAGGACCCAGATTTCATTTTTACTACTATCTTGCATTTGTGTAGATGTTGTACCCTCAAACCATTTTCACAACTGTACATACAGCAATGACATCATTTATCACTGAAAGACAGGCTCTTCAGAAGGAGGTGTAGCAACAGTTTTACATACAAAGCAGCACCACACAACAGTCTGCTGCAGAAAATTATCAGTGTGGCCAACTGAAATTCAACAGAGAGTTTTAGAGAGGACTAAATAAGTTTGGAAATTGACCTGGACAGAGTTAATAGTGTAGTCTGTACAAGGAGTTGCTGGAAATTCTCTAATGAAAACACATTTGAGAAAAAATGTTTCCAGAAGCATTAACAGCCACATCGTGCTCTCACAGACTCAGAGCACTGACTGCAATCTACTGCCCTTCCAGGCTCAATCTTTGGGCCAAGCTCTAAACAAATCTGGAGCTCCACCTAGATCTAGTCACTGAACACAGCCCCAGTCCATGATGTATGCTTTAGGATTATTTATACTGTTTAGGTAATAAAAATGGCAGGAAGAAAACATAATACGAAATTTCAGGGGATTTATTTAGCCACTCCTTCCTTCCTGTCCTGTATGCATTTGGGAAAAGATTTGGGCAGAACAGACTCATGGGCATGCACAAAAATAGAGTAGGCAAAGACCATGCATCCAGCTGGTACGCAGCAATAACAGTTGTCCAATTCACATAAGAGCTGAATTTCAAGCTAATTCTGCCTGAAAATACTAGCTGAGGATAGATGATGTCAGACGTGAAGATGTCACAGAAACTTTATGTTCTGTGGCTGCAGACCAGGGCAGCACTGTCCTCGAGAAGGATGGAGGAGCATTTCTCAGCTACTTACCCACAACTGAGGCACACAGAGGAGCATGTGAAATATTCATCTGGAAAGAAAGAGCTGTGAGCCATCTGGTCATCAGGGATCTCCCCACTGAACCGGTCACTTAGAGCCTGTCAAACAGAAAAGAATGAACTGGTAAGGGATTGAGAGCAATGAAGGCATTTTACGAAAGGTTTTGCAAGGAAAAGCATGGATTCCTCTACTGGAGGGACAGGCAGCAAGAGAGGACACAGCTAACAAATAATGTCTGACTAACCCAGAAACCAAGACAAGGATTGGAAATCAACCAAGAAGACAATCCTGCACTTGTATGGAAGTGAACTGAATACTTGTAAGATACTTACTCTTCTCCTTCTGTCCCTGCTTTGAATTTTGTAGTAGAAATGGGTGGTTGCATCCACCTCTGTGCACAAAATCCACGCCCAAAATAGCAGGGTGCTTGCTAAAAGGGCTTTGCATTCTGGAAAATTCCCAAAGGAAACTCAGAGGATTATTTCTCATAGTACATGAGGACACATTCTTCACCTCTCAGCTCAGAAAGTGCTGTCCTGAGCTTTCCTCTGGCCTCTTGAACAACTATTCTTCTCTGGTGAAATGCAAAACTGAGACAAAGGGATTTGCACACTTTCCTGGGAGCATCTATTCTTAGATAAGTCAGTCCTTAGCCTTGACTCACTTAACTTTTCCAGTTCATTTGTGTTTTATGCTTAGGAAAAAAAAAAGCACCGGAAGAAAGCAAATGGCTATGGTCCTTCTTGATGGAGAACTCTGAAGGCATGAGGTATAACTGAAACCCTTCCTACAGCTGAGGCTAATATAGTGGCTGCCTGCCTTTCTCTTCCTCTCCCTCCCCTCCCAGGGTTGGGGGTAGGTGGAGTGGGTGTGTCTCTGCTGTCTAAGAAGGGTTGACTGCACATACACACAGACTTGTGTATGCCTCTCATCACAGCTTCCCTCAGATAAGATCTCTATGTAGACATTTGATTTCACAGAATTTCAAAGAAATTGGCTTTAAAATCTTTCTCAAGTTTGCCTAATATTGGCCAATGAATTCAAAAGGTAGAGGAAACGGACAATAGATCTCTAGCAACCCTTGTGGCCTCAGTAAGTGAAGCAAAAAAATTAATTTGTAGTCAGTAGTGACCTGAACACAGCAAATGCTCTACTGCACATGAATTTAAGTATACTAGCAGCTATATCTGAAATCAGATTACTTGATTATTGCAATAAAGTCCTACAAATTAAACTGAAATTAACCACTCCAACTGCTTTCCCCTTGTTGCCCGTCTGCTTCTTAATGCAAGGAACTGCATATATGCCACCCTGATACTTCCCTCTGTGCTTCAGCTACCCCAAATACAGAGCAGCCAGAATTATCTGTTCCAACAGCTGTGACTAACATCAGAAAAGACTGCTAACACCACCTTCTTGTGCAGATATGCCCCAGCCCCTCTCACCCTGACAACAGCTGTGCTCTTCAGGCCAATGAAAAGATGATGTTAATCAGGTAGTGGTAGCAGTGTGTGATAACTTGTAGGACAGACTGCAAATTTAAAGACACAGAAATCCCTCTGACATCCGAGCAAAGTGAACCATCTAAGAAAATCACTTGCTCTGAAGTAATACATCATTTGGCTTGATCCCACCTTATTCCCTAGCTACCAACACATCTCCTTCCTTTTTGCCTCCTGGGCCCCTGGGTTACACTACACTCAGTGCTACGTTTTGCCAATCATTAATTCCCTGCAAGTCTCTTTCATTGCCTACTCTTGTGCTGAGGCCAACTTTAGGCATATCATTAAAAAACTCCCTCTTAGCCTTCTCTTTGTAAATCACTGTCATTTAGTGCTTGTCACCCACAGCACCAGTTACTTTATTCTTCCTGGTTGTTTTTTTGATTTTGCTCTGTTTTGCTCTTCAGTATTTTGTGACCCTTCGCGGTCTTTGCTAAGGTGTTTGTTCATTTCAAAGTTACACAAAGTTATCCTCTTCATGGAAGATCTTCTTTATCCAGATATCTGCAAGTCTGCATCACTGGTACATGTGTTACTGAGTTACTAGCAACAGCGATACAAATAAAGACTGACAAACTCTTCTCCACTTACTTTTAGTGCTTTGTAGATAACCCCAGGCTGTCTAGGTGACCGAGTAGTATTGTTCTCCAGCTGCTGCTCCACAGCTCGCCTAAGTCCAGAGAAATCTGTTGGAGGATTGTATGTCCTTGTTCCCTTATAGTGAATTGAGCTGAAAGCCTCAGGAAAACAGCTCAGCTTCCGAAACCGATCCTGGATGAGCTTCTCAGGAACCTCAGAAGGATGATCTGTATATAAAATAATATCAGCAAGTATATAAACAATTGATTGTTTAAAATATTTAAATTTCTTAGTGCTTTCATATGCAATATAGTCCTAGTTTTCCTAATTAAATCTTCTAATACATCTGGAATGCAGTTATTGCTATATTTTAAAACAAGGAAAAGAAACAAACTGTTTCCAAAAGCAGTCTCTGTTTTGTGAAACAGAGGTTTAGATTCTAAGACCAAGTTCCTGAGGTAAAACCAGAAACATCTAGGTTTGGAAACACAAATATCCAGGTTACAGAGCAGTTTAGAACATAATACAAGGAAACTCCATATCAGAACACTTGTTAGTTCTTCTCACCAGACCATAACTTGGTATATCCAGTCCTAGCACCTGATCAGTGGAGGACATGAGCCTCCGCATGGGCTGCCTGTTCTCTGTGCCAACACTGCAGCAGGGAAGACTGAGCCTCTATCAACCCTTTGTATGTGCTGAAGCACTCCAGAACTGGCCACATCAGGTCAGACTCCACAGACCCAACCATATTCTTCTGTCTACTTCCAAGTACATTTCAGAATAAAGAAGGCCCCTTCTTCCCAGTCCTAAAACTATATAAACACTCTTATCTCAATTATCCCTTGAGACAGATGCTTACAGTTTTCTGCAAATCCACGTGCCAAGAGGTTTCTTTCTGATTCCTACTGTGATCAGAAGTGATGCAAAAAAAAATTTTTTTTTTACTACCCTGACTTTGCATACAGGTGCAACTGTCATTATGGGTCACTAAAGTCAACCTGCTGAAACACCAAATGTCAACAACTACATGAAACTCTGAATTGCTAATCAGCAAATTAGTATGTAAGAAAAGGAACTGCCTTGGCAGGTAAGTTAAAGGTTACTAAGTCACTCTAATAATATCCAGAAAGAATGCCAAGTTCCTCAAGACCTCACTGGTTAGAAAAGCCCAAATCAAAATGAGGGCCAGCCAGAAGCTGCTGTGATATTAACAGCAGAAGAGTCCTGGATGTTCACAGACAGCAGGACTGAGCCTCAAGCACTGCAGGACAATTAATTAGGGCTGCTACTTAACAAAGCCCCACAAACAGACAGAACAAAGAAAGGTTTCATCATGTCCTTTGAAACATGCAAAAAATGAGAAAAAGTTTAGATCAAAACCAAAACATGTCATGACTTACATAGGACAGTGCATTTCACTCAGACATACAAATAAAATACACAATTTAAATATGCATAATCCAGTATTACATGAGCCAAGTTAAAAGTACTGTTGAAGAACACTGAAGAGTTCTGGGAATAATAATGTGTCAGGTTGCTCCTTTGGCCATATCAGATACTCGCAGAGAAAAAGGTTATGTCAAACCATCAGCTCCATGCCACCACAACTTCAGTTCCAACCTCACACCAGCCTCACAATGATGTTGTTCCACAGAATTTTAAAAAGTAGAGTGAAGTTCATCAATGCCATTATTCTTGCTCCTCCCAGTTTCTAGATAGAACTTAATCTTAGTTTGTGATTGTTTTGCAACAAGATACTACATATTCCTGAAAAAAAATCCCAAGGTGTCTTAGTTTTCATCTTTGCCTGACATATCACCCATACTCAATATCTTGTATGATGACCCCTCCAGTGGCTGGCCAAACTCATGAGCAGTCAGTGCCAATGTCCAGTTGGTTAAGAGGATTATTCTAGCTGATCTGGAATAGTCAGATCACCATCAGGGAATGCTCTTCTAATTCCACAGCCTGGTTCCCAGACTGAAACAAGTTAAAGTGAAACCTGAACCACATCTTTTACATAGTAGTAAAGAATGCTGAATTTTCAATGCAACCTGATAATTTATAGACAGTGTTTATCACATTGTAATTCAGTTTCTTACTGCCTACTCACCAGAGCCCAGGAGCTTGGTGTACACAGTCTCGTGAAAGATGATGACACCTGGACCCAAAGTTGACAGAGGAACATCTAGGCCACAGCGGGCTGTGGTAGCTTTTAGCTCCTTGGTGAAATGTTTTAAATAAGCCTCCGAGGCATCACCAAGGAATTTGAAGAGATCATTGTGGAGTCTGTCAGCACGAGTACGGTAGATGACAAGGTCAGAGATGGCCAGGACCTTCAGCAGCAGCCGTGTTCTCTGGCTCAGGTTCACAGTGGCCCCCAGGAGACCCTCTGTATCAATCACCACCACTTTGCGGACAGGGTCATACGCTGCCCAGACTCCAACTGTGCAAGACTCTTGGGCTGGAGACGTCTTGAAGACTTCCCGGCCATAGAAGAAAGTGTGGTTAAGGGTGTGAGACTTGCCATCCCCTGTGTTCCCAAAGATGGACACTACCTTTAGATGCTGGTCAGGACTGCAGTCCAGTTTCTTAATAAATTCTTCTTCGTTCTTTACCTTCCAAAACAAAAAGAGAGAAAAATGTTATAACAGTGCAACTGGACAGACAACACTGAAAGCACAGGTGGTTTCAGGATTCATAAGATTCAAAAGAGCAATTACCTCCTCTTCAGATTTCATCGTAAGTTTCTGAAGCACCAGTAAGTACAAAGCAAAATACTAGAATGCTGTTCTGTAAAACATACACTTCAATGGGATTTACATTGTTCCATGATGTAGCTGTTTTGGAATTGATGCCTCACTGTGATTACCTGTCTAGGCAAACCTCTGTACCCTACCCCATTTCCTGAGAAAGTCCTTTCAGAGAAGGGAGCACAACCCTACTTCCAAGTCTGACAGAACAGCTACTTGGAGCATGGCAAAATTTCTCAGTAGCATTGGTCTCCTGGCAAGCATCCAAGTTCAGGTGTGAAACGGGAGTGCTTTTGTCATTTTACCATGCCTCATACACAGAGACTGAGCACCTGTTTAGGGAGAAAAAGCTCTACCATGCAGCTGTACTGCATCTATCTACAGCCAGGTGCTCTCAGACACAGCCTGTTCTGTTCCCACTGCTCTCCAGCTGACCCATCCTCCAGCTGGAAGGAGAGGCAGAGAAGAAGCAGCAAAGTTGTGTGCTAGAGTCAGGTGGACAAAGCTGGTCAAACTGACTCTCATGGAAGTGCCACAACTACCTCGATAACCCATGTCATAATTTACTGCAATGTACTTTCATTTTTTAAAAAACAACAAAACCAAAAGAACACACACACACACACAAAACCAAAAGGGAGTAGACAGCCTTCAGCAGGTAACTTCTCTTTGGCTTTCCATAGATTCAGTGACAAGCTTCATGCTATTTAGGTTAAAGAACAGGGCATTTTCTGTTCAGATACTAGAGCAACAGGAACAGATAAACAAGCCATGAAATGGCTTAGGGCTCTGTACAAGAGCCTGCCTTGATTTTGTTGCAGAATACAGACTTGGCTTTCAAAGGTTTCATGCTGCTGTCTACAATTGTTTATTCCTTACTTTTTCTTCTTCCAACAGGTTTTATCCATGTGTTATGTGACAGGTAAGAATATGACAGAAGCATTTTTTGAGAAGGATTAAACTCACTTCCTCCATCCTGATTCCCTCCTCCAGGAATCCCTATGAACTGAAAGGAGCAGGGTTTCCATCCCCTCTCACCTGCCTCTCAACTTCTGGAAGCAATTAGCTATTTCCCTCCTGTGAGTACAGTTGGAAGGTCTCACAATCCATGATCCAGAGAGGCCATGATTTACTTGAACAAATTTATTCTTAGATCAGCAAATTAGTTTAAGGCTCAGTCAGCCCCATTTGCTTTGGTCAAATCTATCAGCGGCATCTAGACTCTGAGGGAAAATAAAAACCAGACAGCACGCCAAAAACATAAAAAATAAACAGTGTGCCAGATTGTGGTTGGGAACTGCATTCACAAAGAAAAACTGTGGACTGCAGTAGCTTCTCACAGACTCAAAGCATTCAAGGCAGCCTCACAGTGTAGATGAAAACAGGAAACAGAAAAATCAAAATGCTCTCAACAGAATCTTTCCTGGTTTGCATTCAATGTACTTTAATAACTGCTGATGCCAGGACAACTTATTATACAAAAAAGAGGTGGATTGCTGAGCCAGACAGAGGAAAAGTTGGTTCCAGATCAATAATCCAGATCACTCCAGTAGAAAAAGTTACATTCAATATCAAAGCACACACACACACACACAAAGCTGTTACTCCCTTCTAAAGTTCTAGGCTCTTTCAGACCTGCTTGCAGGACAGAACTCAGAACTGATTCAGACAAGCAAGTTACTTAGGAGCACAAGAATGTACCAAAGTCTAGCTAGTCCAGTGTTGTGTCTCTCAGGACCTGGTAACGACTGAGAAAGAATTATGACTTGAAACGAGTAAATGTTTTTCTAGCATGCTTTACCAGTTCTTAGAAGTCAGACGACAAAGGACTTCCTGAGCAATGGTTGCATCTGGATGTTCATGTTTGGGAGAGAAGCAGTAGACCTACCTCTAGGAGGTGGTCTAACCTCTTTCAGAACCTAGTCATAGTTTTGGATCCTGCAACATCCTTACAATAAATTCCATGTGGGGAGAGAAGAAATAAAACCAAAAAACAAACAATACAACAAAAATATCCCTTCTCTTTGAAGTTGAATATGCTTGTATGTCATTGTGTGCTACTTGCTCTTGTGCATTTGTTGACTTTAACCAATGCTGAGCATTGAGGGATGATAATCCCAAAGAAGCATTCACACCAATCCCCATATCAGTAATCAAATTTACTTTCCTTGAGCAAGTTTCTTTCAGACATTTAAAGTCAGAGTGTCTTTGACTAAGTGTCAAAGTACTAATCCCCACTGGATTCAAGTCCCACTTCTCTATTTTACTTCTTATCTCTAAAGAAATTTCTATGGTACCACCTTGTGTTGCATGTGCAAAGGGCTAATGTTTCCATAAGTGTGTCCACTCCCACATTGCTCAAGAGCTCCACGTCTCTAACGTTAGCAGCAGAGAGTAAACATGAAACCTCCCTTAAATTGCACAACAATGTAAATTAAGAATGAAAACTGTATTTCTAACCTAAGACAAGGGGCATATCTCTTCAGCCCCTTCTTGATTTTGCCATTTCTAATATCAGAGACTCAGGTACACTTTTGTTATGTTATATATAGATTCTCTCCTAGAAAGAACAGTTTTTACTCCATGTGTTAAAATCCTGGTTAGCTTTCTTTTATAGTTTTAACTACATTGCTTTTAGCAACTGTCATGCAGGTCCCCATGTAATCACTCCACCCAAGAACAGCTGAACTGAAGGTGAAGGTCTTCAGCAAAACAGAACTTAACAGCTAAAGTCCTCCATAAGGAGTGCATAAAAACCCATACCATGTTGGTGTGGAACACATTTAGAACTGAGGCCTCTTTATCACTCATACTTGGACATTTATTATACCTAACATAACAAGTTTCTTAGATCCAAGCCCCAGTGAAAGTAAACTGTTTAGAAACAGAACTGCTAAAATGAAGCAAGAACTGCTAAAAAAGAAATTTCTTGTTAAAAAACAAGAACTGCTAAAATTACATACCTGCCTATGAATTTCTTGGTAACAGTGTTATTGAAACAACAACATGTAAAGCTTAGGACCAAAAATCTATAAAATAGAATGGAGTTTCCAATGTCCTGGACTCATACAACTTTAACTCTGCCTCCAGGCAAAACAAACACATTTAGAGAATCAGACATTTTTACTACAGTTTTCTCCTTTTAAAACTCATTATGAATCCTTTAAAGCTTGCTAATATTCATGGAAGCAGTGCACAAAGCCAGAGCTGTGCTACAGCACACAATAGCTCAAAACAAAAATGGAGAATGCTTGGCATAGTATTCATCAGTGTCTTCATTTGCTAGTCTTACACTGTCATTTTGACTTACATTGGTACTTTTGTTGTAGTGTTGAAACCTTACTCTTTGCTTGACCTGATTTTAATGGAGAAATTTTAATAAGTAAAACACATTTTTTGCAATCAAGAAACATACAGAATGCAATTTCTGAGCCAGGGGTTATCAGACATGGGAACAGGCAGCCCAGGGAAGTGGTAGAGTCACCATCCCTGGAGGTATTTAAAAGGTGTGTAGATATGGTGCTTAGGGACATGGTTTAGTGGTGGACTTGGCAGTGCTGGGTTAATGGCTGGACTCAATGATCTCTAAGTTCTTTTTCAACCTAAATGATTCTATGACTAGACAACCAGCACATGACAATATCTTCAGATACACAACCACTAAATCAATAAAGAGGATATGAATTTAATACCCTTTTCAATGAATGGTTGTGCTGCAAGATTTGTAACAGCACAACCAAATGTATACCAGCATAAAACTGCAAACATCTGAGACAAGTCAGTCTTCAAGTACAAGTGGTCAAAACAATCAAGGGGGAAAAAATTACTATATCCCCTTAAAGCACTACTTAACACTGGCAATACAAGTAATTCTGTTCACAGTTCATAAACATTTTAAAAAGATAATGCTTGTAATAATTCAAACTAACACCTGATAACAGAGGGAGAAATGGCAAAGCAAGCTAAAACAAGATCTGGAACCTTTTAATCAGCCCTGAGCTTCTAAAACGCAAAACGGAGACAATATTAGGTAATCAATCGTAAGGAGAGAATATCGTTATTAATCCTTAAACCTGGAAAACAGAACAAGTCTGTCAGAACTGTACACCTCAACACAAACCAGGTCTTTAAAACACTGCTTCTAAATTTGTGTTTTAACTCTGAAAAACTGAGCTCTTACCCAGAGGTAGATTCACACAAAAGTCTTATGGGTGCATGCCTCAAGCTCCAGGTCCTACATTTAGGTCATTAAATCAGAATTTCAGTGTACACTGAAAGCAAGAGAGAAGTCTATAAAGCAGATTTCTACCTTTAACTATAATCTGTAAAACAAATCTGAGAAGAATAATCTCCACCACAGTTCAGTGCCACCACTGAGATTCACATCTCTGCAGGGCTCCTCAGAATCACTCCTGAAAAGGCAGTGCACGAATGCAAAGAAGTGTAGCTCGCTTACCCCAGCAACTCAAGTGCAACAGGCACAACAAAAGCAACTGGAAACTCCCTGCATCTGCACCAGGAGAAATTTTTGTTGGTATTTCCAAGTGTTTCTTTTCATCAAGTGTGAAAAAGGATTGGGTAGCTCCCTGTGAGGAAGAGAAACTCTCTGCTATGAAGCCCATGGCATGAAAAGAGCTGTGAGATGGGCCCTGAACTCTAGCAACTCAAATGCTGTTTCCCTCTAAGATCATAGACTAATTCAGGTTGAAAAGGACCTCAGGGGGTCATTACTCCCTCCCAGCTTTTAGAGACTTCCAAACAAGAGAAAAGATTTTGATCACAAGCAGGTGCTCAAAAAGAATCAAGGATAACTTTTAAGTTGAAGCAGTTCTAGTTTTCTACCTTAGGTTGCCTCCTATATCTTT